AGTCTCTGCTATCAAAAATAAATCCTGACCAAATATTGTTTTTATTAATACAAACCAAAAAGACCCATTTCAAAAGTATGTAAGTACATTCTGCCAAAAACCCACTGAGCATTAAAGATTTAATTTACAAACTGTACAAGTGATGATGCATTGTATGAAGGGAGGAAGGATATGATCGCATGTTAGAGGCGGTGCAAATATAACTCCCCTCCCTACCAACAAAGAAAAGAACACAACTTATCTAAAACACCACCATAAACCGGTATTTACTACCAAAATACCTGTACCAGTGTTCAATAGGAAAAACAATCCTGCACCTCTCTGGAGTTTTTATTCTTTGCAGATAGCCATCTATAACTTCCTCAAACTCCCAGGTGAACTATATTATGTCAAAGATTAGCAGTTCATTTACAAAAACCTTTTATGTGCAAAATTCTGTACAAAAGATCTCTATATGTACATCTATTAGATAGAATATAATTTAAATAAATACTAGCTCTAAAGATTTATCATAAAAGCCAAAATGAAATGGCTCTTTTCATTCTTTTTTTTTCCTAACAATCCCCACCTAACTGTATAGCAGCTACATGTAAAGTTACAAAAGAAACAGCTCATGCAAAATAGTTATTGCATGATTTCAAAACATAAAAAAATACACGTTTCCAAAGAGGGTTGTTGGAACTCTAACTGGTGGAGGTGGAGGGCCACAGAAACCAAAATGTTTAAAGGAAAGTATGAACATGTAGTTTAGCTGAAACTTATAGAGGAGAGACTCAGGGTCAAACAAAAAAGTCCTCCATGATAAGATGGAGATTTTCTGGAACAGAACTGTTACTAATATATCACTAGCATCCTATACTGAAGGCAATTTGGCAAAGGCAATCCTGTGTCACTGATCTTTTTTTTCCCCCTAAAATCTGTGCTATGTTGTTGTTTGGTGATTGTAATGTTGCTAAATAGATGATATGCTAGCAGGAATTCCATGATGAGAACAACTGATGACAGTGTAAGTATTCCTCTTTCGTCCTCCCTTGCAGCACCATGGGATGCATGAGGGCTCACCTTTTCCTCTTCACATAGCAATTATGAAAGTGAAACTGCACTTTTCTGAGTTGGCAGATCCTCTCTAACAAAACAGTGCATGTATTTCTGTTTTATAAAGCTCACTGCACTTGTCAAGAAATCTTAAAAAATGGGAAGGGATTTTGTGAACTAATTTTGCATTTACACATTTACATGCCATGGTAAGTTTATGTGTAAAACAAGAAAATATAGCTAAGAGATCTCTTCCAGAACACTGCACATAATTTCATCTTCTCTGGTAAACTGCTCGTCATCCTCTGTGTGCTTGCTGGATTCATCAACCTGGTAATTAGACAGACTAACATCAATTTCAGAACTAATAATCGTAAACATTTCAGGACTGTGCTCTAAAAGTGCCAAGGTGCCACAGGCAACTAACTTTTGCCTTTGGGCGACTGCAAAAATTTACTTTTTTCATAAAAGCTTAAGTGCTGGGCACCCAGGATTTCATGGTTATGAACATTTGGACTCTGTGTAATTTTTCTTAGACCACAGTCTTGCATTTGACTGGAGCAAAAGCAGAGAAAGAGCACATCCATGAAAAACCACTCCATGAATACTCCCAAAGCCATGTGCCCTATCTACCTCTAACACCTGTCTAACAGAGTGTATGTAGGCTATAATCTCTGTTAAAGATTATAAACAATTTTGCCAGGAATTTTTCTTGTTATTCCATGGACTGAGTACGAAAATTTATGGACAGAGATTTCATACATACCTCCATTTGTTCAAATGAATTATCCTGTTGTCTAGATGCTATCTGTAATGATGATAAACAAGACTGAAGCATTGTCACTACTCTGTCCAAATGCCTGTGGAAAAAATGATAAACAGAACAGGATTGATCATCTTACTAAAGAAACAAACTGAAGAAACTAAGATCAACGGGCTCCCAAATACCTCTGTTAACCCAGAGGTTTGGAACTCCATGCCTGGGTTGTTCGAAAGGTGGATAATGCTATCCACCGGATAAATCACTATCTAGCGGATAGCATGGTTTTGTTAATACTTATCCACTGGATAGCGATTTATGCAGCGGATAATGATTTATCCAGTGGATAGCGTTATCTAGTCTTCAAACAACTGGGGCCAGGTACACAAATGTTTTGAACAAAAAAAAGCAGCTTCTTTGACAACAACCACTTTCAATGAATTTCTCAAGTTAATAACAATGATCCATTATTGTTCATTAGGATAATATCTCAATAAAAACAAAGAGTTTGGGACACTGTTTTGCTAAATAGGGGTTGAAAAGTCAGTGAGGTTCACTTCAACTGCATGAACTAATTGATTTGAGCTTGACAGTTTCCAAGTAAGCTCTCAGACTCCATCTCATCTAAAGGATTCTGAATGAAAGCCATTACTTGTTCAGTTTATCGGCTGTTTCCAGTCTCTGCTGTTTCTGCCTTTCCATCATCACTCTTAATGTCTCTCGTGCCTAAAATGTAGCAACAAGACTTCAATATCTCCACTCGATAATACTTTAAACAAAACTTTTTGATATTCCTTATACTGGTTAACTTTCCTATGATTTAGTCAGTCCAAAACTCCCCTTCAGAGCTCGACTTTCAGGAAAAAACCTTGGGGCCAGCTGGTCCCTAAGTTTTCAGATTTAGTTGCAAGCACAAGCGCTACATTGCCACAATAAGGAACTGGAAAAAGCTGCAAATGAAGGAGTGTGTAACCTGATAGCAATTAAAATGGCAGTAGCTTGGTATCCCATATCCTGAATTATAAATCTCCGTAAGTAACAGTAAAGAAAAATAACCAAACAAATAAAAACATATTACAAACCTGGTGAGGCCTGAGTTCATTGATCAAGTGATGAATATTAATAAATAGCAGGTTTAAGTCATCAAGTTTTTCTTCTCTCTGAAAGTGAATAAAAGAGACAACATTACTCAAGGTAATAACTACATTGCATAAAGTTGAGGATATTTCTTTTTTGTTCTCTATTTTTATGACCTTAAGGAGAGGCATGTTGGTCTTGATGGTTTGTGCTCTGAACTGAGTGCTCCAGGTTCAAGCTCTGGTTAGGGTCATTATATTGTGTTCGTACAGTACCCCTCTTATGCCCATTTATAACGGAGCAACAGAGGACAAGGTTTCCATCCAAGGAGGGATAGAATACTCCTGCATGTTAGTCACTTTGTAGTGGTCACAAGGTTAGATTGCAAACTTTCAAAAACAACATTTTGTGTTAATTAAGTCACACTCCTAAATTTATGGGATTGCTTTTCCTACAATACATGAAGGTAAAAACAAACGTCTATCTGAGGTCTTATGTCATCAAGTCTAGTTTGCTCCCTATGTAATTAGATTTTAGCCTGACTGCAAAATCCAGTAGCCCAAAGCACTTGTCCTGGGCTCTATATATGACAGACAACTTTCCTTGCATGCTGTGCAGATAATGTTTTCCTGGTATTTACAGCTTTGAACTACTTGTAGTAAGCAAACATGATACCTTTCCAAGCACAAGTGTGTAGACTGATGGCAAGATAAAGACAGGAGCTAGCCCTTTTTTAGCCCTATTAGATCATACCATGCAACTTAAAATCAGCTTGGACCAATCTCTATTGAGCGTGTTTTTAGTCTAAATAATAATTTACCTTGGAGGATGAAGGTGATTTAATAAGAATATCCAGCAGCTCCAGGAAGTTAATAAATATTGAATGATTTAATTTCTTGAGTTCTTTTATGCGATCTAAAAGGATAGCAAAAAAAAACCCTTGCCATGAAACAGTGGACTTCAATAATATTTATTAAAATCAGATACATAAACATTAATTTTGTACACTGAACATTTTTGTTCATAACGCTGTCACTAACTTACAGTGGCAGACAACCAGACAGAGGCAGACACCTTTCTTAATTTACATCACAGTGGCTCTTCAGAAACAAAAGCCCCTGTCATCAATAAAGGGCCTGATAAAAGTACAATAACAATGTTCACACTGTCATTCTGAGATTTTCTGCATTTTATCACTGACATTTTATTTTAGCCGTCTGATTCAAATTAGCACTTCTTTCTGTGAAATTCATTTAATCCCCACATAAAAGCCGCCTCAATGTTAGCACACTTTTGTCATTAAGGATACTACTGTTAAGATTTGTTAATTTTGGATATTAATCACCATTAATATGAAGCTGAAAATATAATATATGGCTGTTGTATTGACAATTTTGTTAGTCAAGATCTTTTGAATGTGATTGGCTATCACCTGTATAACTTCAACTGTTTGTGTTTTCTTTTATTTGTTTGTTTGTTTGTTTTCTTTACTATTAAATTTTTATCGAAAACTTCAAAGATTAAAAATTTTCCTCAAATTTTGAGTAAATTAATTTTGTTTAAGTTAAGATCAGCTGTTGTGCAGCACACAGTTTCACGTGTATGATTGCAGACTAAATTGTGATCCACACAGTCCTGTTTACCAATGTTAACAGGGCAATTTACTCTTACTCGTGGATGTATTTTTCCGTTTGCAGAACTTAAGTAATACATACCAAATCTACCTTGAGTTGTATACAGTCTAGTTATTCCCTGAAGTTCTAAAGGTCTGATGATAGATTCATCGGTCTAAAATGAGAACAATATGACACCCAAACTTCAATACAAGGTACAATATCTTTGTGATGTTTTAAAAATTACCTGATCAGCTTGTTTCTCAAAAATAGGAAAGCTATTTTATAACAGTCATGATTGCTGCAGATTTACGGAGATTTAAAACTACAAACAACAACAATACCTCAAATGAAGCCCCAAACATCGAATAAGCTCCATCAACTGGAGGTGGTGGATCAGGCACTATTTGTCTCTCTACATTTTCGTCCGTATATACTTTATAGTATTGACTTGGAGGCAAGGGAAATGGACAAACTCCTTCGGCGGCCATTTTGGATCTTCGCTGACGACGGCCTAAATGGTGTATGGGTAACGTATCGCTCTCGTACCCAATCCTTGGTAAACGCGCGGCCATTTATAAAAAGAACCTCATTCAACTCAGGTGGTTGTCCACTGGAGAAGAAAAATGTGGTCCTTTACACATTGAAATGGTACTTTCTTTATGGAGAATCTTCTCTATTTCTGGTTCAATCACAGGGATTGCAAAGAGAAGGTGCAGAGGTGCTTTTATTAAATTTAACTTCTAACCTCTACACAAGCTTGCATGATTTCCCTGTAAATATTTATTAAAAGAAACAAAAAACATAATATGCTGAATTACTGATCCCTTGGGAAAGAGTTTTGTTTTCCTGAGAATCTTGATGTTTCCCCCAACAAAGTCAAGGGAAACACCACGATTCAAGGGAAAACAAAACTATTTCAGAACTGTTCCCCACGGGACTAGTATTAAATATGTGTTTTATTTTTAGCTGGAGTAAGTGCAAAGTAATGAGGCAAGTAAACATCAAAGTAAGCCATGATTAGTGGGAGAGTGGGTGACAATTTATTGCTTAATTGTTGCCTGGCAGGTGACATTATATTTAGATTTCTTAAAGCCATTGCCATGTGATGATGCATAAATCAACCAATAAGAGTACAGTTAGATTCAATTAGTTTTTGGTAGGTGTAAAAAGTTAGGCTTACATAAGTAACCATCATGTGAGCTGACTTGCAGAATGTCTCTAATAAATACACTGAATTTTCTTTGAAAAAAATTTAGAAGTGGAAGAAATTTCATCCAAGGGTAAATTTATGTTTATGTTTTAATCCATTCCCTTCCCAAAGAGGGTTTTTTGGTTTGGACCCCTCATTCATACTTTCCTTTAAATAATTCATTTTGGCTTTTGAGCCCCCTTGGAGTATTTTGCAATAACCCTGCTTTGGGTAGGCTCGATTTCAAGAACGTGGGCTCACAAAACAGCTGGAAATCGAGCGTTGATCCTTTGGGTAGAAGTGGACATTTTCTGGAAGCACACATTTCACTTAACATTTTTTGTAGCTTTACAGATATGGCAACAAGTCCCAATAGTGGATGTCCATCGGTGCGGGTTATCATACAACAGTGTCTGTCAGCCAGACTTCAGGTCCAACCACCAACTGAAAATGAAGATGCTCAATGGGTTGAGGTGAGTGAGCTGTGAAAACATCAGCTGCCAAACAACTGAAGGCAAAGGATGAAGGGTTGACTGTCCAATCAACTTATCCTTTCTATCTTTTTTTACCTGTAGTCATGTTTAGAAAATATCTCTTTAAAACGTGCAATTGCTTCAAGGTGTGTTTCTATAAACTTTTTTTATAGAAACAGAACTCAGCAGCCAGTGTGAACTATTGACCTAGCGATTGCGCTAGGCTGCAAAAATTTAATTATGTTTTTTTGAAGTGATTTTCTTTCCAATTCCATTTGGGCATCAATCATCTTAGTACTGTTGGATGAGGAAATTTTTGGTCAGTGGAGTGTCCGGGAATTCTTTATGGATGTCAGCCTAGCTAGTTAATGAATTGTTGACATAACTTGCCCAGGCCAATCGCTATCAATGAGACATTTCTTTCAAATTATGTTCTTAACCCTAAATATCCATCCTCTTTATTTCGCAGATTGCCAGGGGAATTGTTATTTACCTTTGTTTCCTCAAGGGCTCAAATTTGGATCTTGTACCAAAAGTTGGTAGGTTTTCAAGTGTTATTATATTTCTGGCATGATGTTTTTATGTCAATGCTACCTCCCACATTTCTTTGACCACAATACACAGAGCCCAGAGTTGTCTAAATAATGTCAAATATTGATCAAAAGCATTTAATCAAGTGTTACACAGTCTTAACCCAAGTCAAATCCCAATCATTGCTCTTAGTCTGGGAAGTTTTCATGGATGGCATAAACCGGTGGCAATTATGATCGAGTACAGGGAGGGGATGGAGAAATTATATGTGGTGGGATAAACTGGTGTCAAATACTGATTATGATAGGGTCCAGGAAAGGGGGAGGGGGAGAATATGTGACACCCCCCCCCCCCCATCCTAAGTAATACTCCTTGGTAAGCACACCTTTTGCAAATCGGCATATTCAACTCCAGCCACGTGGGACACATGAGCCACTTGGTGTTTTGTTTTGTATTATAGCCACTGTAAAAGCATCTTATTTACCGGTACCCCTCCAAAGGAGCCTTCATATTTTAGTTGCAATCATTTGCAAACTACTAGTAATTTGAGGGAACTAGTCTGTTTTATTTCTTTACGTTTCTATTTCAGTGAAATCAATTTTGAATGTGCGATTAAGTGAGACCACAGACAGACCAAATAATGTGTCTGTTTTAGAGCTGCCTGGTGATATTCTTATTGTTCCACAGGTAAGTCAATGATGTTGAAAAACGATGGTCAGACTGCATTGGACTTTTCATGCAACTGTCATTAAGGGCCGTAACCCGTAACAATACGGCTGAGTATGCTTGATTTTCCCTTGATGCTACGAGTGAAATTCCCTGTTGTTGGTAGAATTCACCTGTAAAGTAACAAATTTGCTATAGGTGTGGAGAATAAGGCTACAGGTGACTCAAAACTTAATGACAGCCCCGTCATGTCAGTGAACAAACAATCAGTTATAAACAATAAAATTGTGGAATGGGTGGCAATTCTCTTTGATATCCCAGATAAGGAACTAGAAAAGAAATCTTGAATGCGACCTGTTCAAAAGTATGATTACCTTAGTTTGAGGGTGGGCATTTAAGTTTACCATGATGGCATGCCTGTCTAGTCAACTTTTATATTCATTAGCACAAAAGACACCTTATTGCATTCCAAGGCAACTAAATGGGTGTACAGCCCTCCCTTACTCCCCCACTCCATTCTCCTCATCCCACTAAACCAGAGCAGGTGCCCATGACTGGGAGCCTCGATCTGTGCTCAGTAATTGAGAGTCAATCATAACCTAATCCTTTTACCTTAAGAAACGGCAGCAATTCTTGTGAAAAGCGTTAATTGTTGGCATAGACATCCGTTTGTGAATCAAGTTTTATCATCAAATGTTTTACAAGGTCAGTATGGCCAGTTGCCATGTGATAAAAATGCCTTATTCTGACTGTGTTTTGACCGGGACTTTCAATGTTGGGCCCCAGAAGCTCCCAGCAGGAAACAGCACACGACCACTTTTTTCAACTAAAAAGATAGGGAAACGGTTGACTCACAGTCTTAGTATGGGAGTTTAAAGCTCTGGGTCATGAGCTCCTCACCAGGAAGAGAATGTTGCCTTTTGTACCTGCTAGAGATGGATTAATAGATTAATTGTTGTTGGATAATATATTCCTTTTATTCTAGGCAACACTTGGTGGAAAGATGAAAGGGAGAAGTGTTCAATATCATTCCAATATATCAAAAGATGAAGGGAGAATATTCTATGAGACGTTTACTACCCTTTGTGAGGTAATTTATTTTTTTACTTAGTCATTTTAGTACAATGTGGGGAATAAAAATTACTACACCAATCTTTGGAGAGCATGTCACTGGCATAGACTTTTTTAGGTCGAATCTCAAGATCTCTGTGCCGAAGAACTTAGGGCAAAACCTCGGTTTACTCAGGCTAATTGCGCTAACTTAGCACAAATCTTTAGTAGAAAATCATCTCTAGTTTACCTTAGGCCTACACTGATAACGTTTACAGGCCTACATTAGGTTTCAGATTAAGATGCTAAATGGACGTTTAGTGTTAAGTGTATCCTAAACGAATAGATCACGTTTCGAGCACTGCCCATTTTTTAGTCATTTTGCAGACCTAGTTTTGCACATGTTGTGGACCCTTTAAACACTTTGTGCTCACTTTAGACCTGTTGTAGCACGTTGTGGGCCGTTTACCCATGCTGTAGACACACTCGCACGTTTTAAACCATTTGAACATGGTATAGACCCTTAGCACTATCGTTTTAGACCCTTTGTGGTCGCTGTCCTTGTGAAAGTTGTGGACCCTAAGTGCACGCATTTTAGAACCGTAATGCAGTCTGTAGTGCTTTCGTGTGCAGTTGTAAACCCATCGTGTGCGTTGAAGACATATGCGAACATTGTAAACCCTTTATTTAAGGTGGCCGAACACAGTTTTCAAGAGCCTCTGCCTAATTCACCATTACTTTAAAGCT